TACATACACCACATCATTGTATCTGAACACGCAAAAGGAAAAGCAAAGCAAAAAATTTTGGTAATCAACTAGTCCAGTGTTTCTCAACTTGTGGGTTGCAACTCAACAGTGGGGTTGCAAGAATATTTGAAAGAGTCAAGAGTAAGTCCCATAAAAATGCAGGAAAGCATGGGTTTCCCCTAGCAGGCTGGCAGCATTCCATGCTGCAAGGAGCACTGTAGGGCAATTAGAGGCAGTAGGCTCACATGCGTCTGTATGGATACATTCATGTGGCTGGTATGCAGCCAGGCAGGGGCATGGGAGCATCCCAGAAGCTGGATACAGGTAAAGGGCAGGGGGGATTGGGGGAAGTCACCTTCCACTCCAGTGGGGGAAGGGGGCAGGGGGGCAGTCCCTCAGGGACAGCAGGGAGCTCGGCCAGAGGCACCAAGGCCAGGGCCTGTACTTGCAAAGGCGTGGCAGCTGGGAGATGCTGTTCAGGGGGGTGGGTAGGGCCATGACCAGTCTGCCTCTTGCAGCATAGGAACCCCAGCCCAGAACAGAGGGGAGGTACAGGCCTTCCCTCCTCCTCCCTCCAGCCATGCTGGGGCCAGACTTGCTCTGCTACAGCCTGTATGAGCTGGAGCCGCCATAGCCACTGTATTATGGCCCAAGCGGGATGGAGACAGCTGGGGGCCTCCTCTGGCAGGGCTGGGAAGGGCAGGGGGTTGTGGGTTGGGAGTGAGGGGCACCAGCATGACCAAGGGGGGCAGAGGACTATAGGTTGGGAGTAAGGGGCACTGGTACGGCCGGAAGAAGGCAGGGCCCCGGGAACGTATAAGCCCCAGGGCTGGGACTGAAAGCAGTTAGGGCCCTGGAAACTGTCAGGGGGAGTGGAGTTCATGGAGAAAAGCTCCATGGAGATACCTGGGTGCCTGTGTTTCTGCTGGTGAGACTAAAGTATTCAGGGTTATGGTTGCTGTTATGTTATAGCCCAGGGGCTCATATTTATGTTGTTGCTTTTAATCTGGTGGGCCAGACTGAGGCTACCGGGGAGGAGGAGGCCTCATTGCGGCACAGTGCTGTGCAGAGCCCCGGCTCCAGGGAGTGCAGCAACAGGGGGTAAGCAGACCTCAGCGCCAGAGAGTGTGGCAACAGGGGATGAGAAGACCCCAGTGCCAGAAGGCGCAGTTACTAAGGCCAAACTAAACTGAGGCCTCATCATGGGAGACAACATCTACATACCATCTGCAAGGCATAGGGCATGATAAAGGGGTTTTGGAGTCATGCATCTAGCCCATAAGGCTTGGGGTGTCCCGCGAAGCACTTACTTAGAGGGGAACCCAGCAATGGGGTCTAAGAACCAACACAGTTTAGTGGGGTCCACCAGGACAGTGACTGCATAGCACCTTGTGGGCAGCCTCCCTATCTACCATCTATATCTTAACCATCAAGACATGGCAGGAGAGAATAGAAGGCACCCATACAGTGAAGCTGGCAAGGTCACAGGGCCCTACGGGCATCACAGCCATCCCTAGGGACCTCACCCCATGACACAATACAAAAAAGGTTGAGAACCACTGGTCTAGTCAATACTTTGCTAGTGCAAGATAGTTCCAAATAGGACATTTTCTAATACTTACTTTAGTCTAGAATCAAATACTTCCAACATTGTATCTTTCACTAATGCATTTTAAAAACTTTGCCACCACCTATTTTATTTTTTCTCTTACTTTCTCTAAAAATAATAGCGGTTACATGTGCAAGACAGTAGGCATGTCTACACATTCATGAATGCATTTTAAGTAATGAACATTAAATCTAGCAACTCTAGATGTTTTTACACCTGCTTAGGGTTGCCAACTCTATTTGAATCTATTCCAGGAGGTTTCCAGAACGCTGTGCCTGTGACACCACGTGAGTGTGCCCACATGCTTACATGCATCAGTTGCAGATTACAATGCATAGACTTTACATCAGGAAGGCAAAATCCCACTGTATAAATTGGTTTCAAATTTTAATATTTACTTTAATGAATGCCCTATCATTTATCTCCTGGGTGATTCCCAGTAGTCTCCTAAAGGTTTATATTTAATTCCTGGAGACTCCAGGGTAATCCTGGAGGGTTCGCAACCCTACATGACTTGCTCTGGGGGTGGAAGGAGGTGCTTTAATTAGAGCATCTCTAAGAACCACTCTAATTAAAGTGTCCAGAGCATCTCGTGTATCAGCGTCCCTGTGCTTCAAAATGGTAGTGGGGGTGCTTTAACTAAAGCTTGTCAAATGAGCTTTAGTTAAAGTGCCCCCATCTGCCATTTTGAAGCATGACATAGAGACTGGCTGAAGTGCACTAATTAGCACGTTCCAGCAGACTTGATTGAGTGTGCTCCAATCCACTGTAATTATGGAGCGTCGGAACAGCCTTCCATCACATCTACAAGCACCCTCCATTGTGAGGTACTAAAAACCTGTGCATATGCCTACTGTAATGCGCACTAGCTAAAAGGATATTTTCAAGATGCTTTAATGTGCAATAAAATAAGCTAATGCACATTAAAACACATGTGTAGACACACCCACTAAGAAGTAACTACACTCATATCTAAACCTTGTTTCAACCTAATCAAGATTTTTCATCATATTCACATGTCCAGGCCTTTTGTTTGATGTTTTCAAGTATTAGAATTTAAACATTAGAAGCAGTCTATTATTTGAACCCATTAGTGTATTTTTAGACTCATTATGGATGTCCTATGATTTGAAATCACATGAAGCTATTGGCTTTACTAGTTAAACCTCTATTCAAATGTTGTTAGGCTTTTCCTGATGGTTTAAGTTTTCCATTTTCTGACAGTTTAGGTTTTTCATTCTTTCACTCCTTGATTGAAGGCAAGCAACTGTCTGCACATCACCCTTGAACACAACAGCCTACCGCTCCCCACCAAAAACAACAGTGGTACCACTCTCACATCCAAGCTGGGTCAGTTGGAAGGATGGAGCAATATAAGGGCAGACATTTCTCCTTAATGAATTCTATACTGTCCACTGGCACTCTAAACAAAAGGTGCTACTTCAATGCCATGGGCAAATCTAGAATTATGAAAAGAAGGGGTGCAGATGGTGAGGTGCATCATCACATATAATAAAACATATATTTTTCTCAAGTTAAAAATAAACTAGAAGGTTTCTTATATGTTAGGGGCCTAGGGCTGATTATTCAGTTTAATATTGAACCAAAAACGAAAATAAATTTCATCAGAATGAGTTAAAACCAGTCTGAAGGGCTGTGAAATAGGAGCTTTGTTACCAGGAACAGCTAACAGACATCATATTTGCAGAACAAAGGGTAACTTGATTGGTGAAACATTAAAACCATTAAAAAGAGGAGAGGGTCATTAAGACTTGTGGAATGAAGAGTTTAGAAGGAGTCAGGTAAATTATAATGAGCAGTGAAGTCAAGTGACTCCCTAAGCAACGGCCTGACTAGAAATGTTACTGCTACTTCCAGGAAGTTGGTTTTAAACTTAGGGTGCAGCAGGAATCAAAGGTGTCCAAGTGCACCACCACACAGAGACCATCTTCCACCCCTATCCAAAGTTTTTCCCCCGTTGCATAATGTCACTAGTACAAAGAGACGGTCTTCAATTTAGAAATGGAAGTAAGGAGACTAGAACCAGAGTATTCAATTGCTAACTAAATACAGTTCCTAAGACAAGATTATTTATTTTGTAAAGCACCAACAAAATGCTTAGTTTAAATTCTGTCTTCAGTTACACTCTTGAAACTCTTGCATGGAAAAACCAAGCCTTATTTTTTACATAATCCCCAGCTGGAGTTTATTTAGCAAGAGCTAACTATTTTCAAATATCTCTATTGTTGAAAGTCACATAAAACTAAGCAAACATTTTATGCACACAGTGTACTTTAAAAGGTGATCTTAATGTTTGAGATTGCTTGTGCCTTATAGAAGGGTTATTTGCCAGAAATCATGGGCAAAATTATAAATGAAAGGAAAAAAGTCTTAATTAAAGAGCCCATAAAACAAAAGTTATTGGACTATTCATAGCAGTGAGAGCTACCAAAACTGGTTTTTCAGGTCATGGGTGGAGAAGACTGTTTTGAAAGAAACTAAGTTTTGAAACTGTAAGTAGTATAACATCACCTACTAAGTCAGAACTCCTTTTTTTTTGTATATTTGTTTTCACTTAGAAACAAAACATAAAATAGATTTAGAAGTGGCTCTTTTATATATCGTACAGAAGAATTTTTTCACTGATGACATTCTTATTGCTCTATGCCCTTTTATCTTAATGGTTTTCAATCAAGAAACAAATTACCTTTTTGTAAAGAACTGTGTTTTTTATATTATAATGCACCAAAATGACAGTTTCAGATTAAAAGAGTTTAGTTTTACTATGTGGACTTTACAAATTAGTGGCTACTATAAACTTCCCACATAACTCCTAAAAAGTAATATATTGATAGGGTTTTCAGCATCACCAAAAGCAAAATCAAATAAATAAGGTTACTTTATTATCCCATAACCACTTCTGTCCCATATTTTCAGCTAAAGAAAGAAAGACCAGTGAAAGGAAAAAGGTGTAAAAGCTTGCACAGAAAGATAACATTTTTGCAATTTCTTAGTTGATATAATAAAAGGAATAATCTCTGAACCAAGAGTTTTAGAGTTTTGCATTTCTTTTTGTCTCAGACCAACATGGCTAGTAAATAGATCCATTAAAACACCTCTTAACTGAAAGCTGAGTAAACAGTTTGTCATTTGAAGTTCAAAATGTAATTGAGTAATTTCCAATTGACCAAGTGAGATAATGCAGATGATAATATAAGCACCATGGCCATGATTTTTAAATGTCCAGTGACTTTTGTTTGCTCAACCCAGGCCACCTTAAAGGGGCCCATTTTTGACGAAGTGAGTATCCTATACTTTCTGAAAATCAGGCAATAGGCACTTTTGAAAATCTTGAATTCTAAATACATAGTACAAAAACCTCAAACCTTACCTCTTATATGATAAAGAACCGGCACCCTGTAGCCAGCCCACAAAAGGAAGTATCTAAGTAGCCACCTAGAAGTCTGGTACAGTCAAAATTTAGAGAGCAGTAACGTTGTCTACCTTGAAACTGCCTGAACAGTTCAGAGGCTTTTCCTCTGGAAGCTGAGTCACTTAAGGAGAGGTGGGAGGCGTAGAAAAGGGTGTTACAGAGTATAAATACCAATTCAGTTAAAAATACCTGCGAGTTTGTTGTATTCCTGTACTCTACGTAAGGTAAGGCCACATTTCTCAAAGTAAATGTTTCTGAACCCTATCAGCAGCCCACAAGCCTTCTGTACTACAACACCGTACTATATGTGGTTTAGTTGGGAGTCTCCCCTGCAAATACTTCATTAGGCAATGGACCTGCCTCTCAAACATATTTTAAAGAATATATTTACATGGCAGAAGTAAGTGTGGTAACACTCTCTTTCATCAAGGAAAAGTCTCCAGGCAGGTTGCATGTGGAATACTTGCTGGAATCTGAAACATGTTAAATATTTGCCTCATTTGGTTGGGTTAGCAGAGAGAAACAAATCTGACAATGGAAATAAAAAACAATCCTCCTTAATAGATCCTATTCCAGATCCATGCTATCAGAGATTTAACTTTACTACTCCTGTTCCTGTAGATTTATCAACAAAGCAAAATTCAATTGTCTGTAAGTTTTGCTCCTGTGGGTGGCAGGCAGGTAAAGACAAAAAGGCAGGCTGAGTTCTTTGCTGAATGAAATACTGGATGAAAAGATTCTGTCAGTGGGGCAGTTTGAAAATGCCAACAACCATCTCTACCTTGTTTCTGACAGTGAAATGTTTACAGCAATTGGGTCTTGTTCAGAGAAATTATTTAGCATCTTTAATTTCATAGAAAATGAAGTTACTTAGTGAATACATCTTCCTTTAATATAAGATGCTTCTAAACTGGAATAGGATTTTTTTCCCCATTTCAAGTGAACCAGAATGTGAATGGGCTTAAAAATTATATGCTCACTGAAATGGAAATGTATTTTTGTCTTTTAATGGTACCAAGGAATTTCTCTATTTGTACAGAATTGATTTCTCGCTCTTGAGTTTAGGTGCTGGATAATATCCATTGACAAGGACAACAGAGGTAATCTTCCATTTTTTACAATGCTTGATTTGATCAAAATTTTCAGAAAATAGCTGGAAGCTCCAAACAGAGCTTGAGGAAAAATTGAGTTCCAGCTTAAAAAGCCAGATACATTCTCTGTATCACTGCGTTATAACACACTGAAGAAAACTACATGTCAGAGCCTGCCAGCTTTGGTTAAACATAAACAGCTTTCTGTTAAGGTTTATGTTAACTATGCTGAGTTGGTGCAGATATGGCTTAAAACCATACACACAAATGTTGTTAAATATAAGGTAAGCACAGAAAGTTATTGAGTACTACTTACGTATAGAGTAGACCAAGGTTCCCAAACTGTGGTATGTGTACCCATAGTGGTATGCAAGACATTTCTGGGGGTTACGCAGGACAAATTGTGTAATGGCAGATTTAATTTTCATTATAATTAGGAATGCACCGATAAATATTGTAATGGCTAATACCAGTGATTAGCCAGCCATATTAGTCAATACCAATCCAATAACTGATATTTAGTAATAGTACAAGGCATTTTAAACTACTGACATAAATAAACCTTTTTCTTGTTTGTTTTGCATTCATAATACACACAAAAACACACATGCACCTCCTGCCTGGTTTGGTGGCACTGACTGCCTTATTCCCAAGCACATCACCTCCTTGCCCATGGCGCCTACCCACAGCCCCACTCCCCACACAGTCCATGCTGCCGTCCTGGGCAGGTGGGGTGGACCCTTGTGCGGACATTTGGAGCCCCAAAGCATGCAGCTACCTCTGCACTGGTGGGCGCCACATGGCCGAGCTCCTGTGGCAGCCAGGGAGAAGTCATTTTTGCAAAGGTGCCTGGTGCCCAGTGGAACAGAATGTCCCTTGCGCAGCACCTTACTTTGCCCATGTGCAGCCCAATATCTCCACAGCAGCCCAGGCACTCAGGCCCCTGCTGCTTGTGCAGCATTGCCATAGCAGTGGCAGCGGCAGCAGGAGCTGGTAACAGTCCCTTTGTTGCTGAGCACAGTACCCTGTGGCTGCTCCCTGGTGCCCCTGCCCCTCCCACTGCTTGTTGGACCCTGTAGTCTGCCGTGGGCTTTGGCTGGCAGTGGGGCATAGGGACTGGACTACACTCAACAGGGTGCTCCAGGCACACAGCCCTAATGATCGTCTACAATGACCAAAAAAGCTGATACTGTCATTTCTCCTTTTATTGGGGCTGGTTGCCAACTGATATATTGATGCACCCCTAATAATAATAACTGGCATTTGGGCTAAATACAGACAGTCAAAAAGCCCAAGGCTAAATTGATTTAATCTTTGCAGGTTAGTTTAAACTGCATGGATTGAACTGAGAAGCAAGTGAACATTCACTTTTGAGTCACAAAATGTGGCCACATGCCTTCAGTGGCTCAGGCTAGAAAATGGGGGCACTAGACCAAGCCTTCCCTTCACTTTAGCCTGCTCTTACTCAGGCTGAACAGGCCCAGCTCCCAGAGTCTCTCCAGATAGGGACTATCTTCCATGCCCCTGACCATACAGGTGGCCCTTCTTTGTACCGTCTCAAGCTTACCCATTCCTTCTTGCCACTGAACTGGACACAGTACTCCAGCTGAGGCCCCTAATATATATTAGTAGCAGAGCACTTTTGGGGTGCTTGCCACGTGGCAGGGGCTGCAGTAGGCGGGGGCAGAGCCCAGCAGAAAAGACAGCCAAATGAAGCCCCCAGATCTCATTCTAAGGGGGGAGGTGTGTAGCTGAGCACCTTTGGGGTTGCTTACCGTTTGAGGGCTCTCACAGGCTCTGAGGAGAGTCTGCTTTGGAGGAGCAGCAGAGGAAACCTTCCCCAGGAACCATTTTAAAGGGGAAGGTGTGTGACAGGGCACTGCTGGTGCCTGTCACTTTAAGACTTGAGCCAAACAGCCAGCAGGTGCTTGATTGCGGCAGCCATTTTAGATCCCTGACTACCTATATAAACAGATCGGTTTCCTGCTGGTAGGTCAGGTAGCAACATTGCTTGGTTCTAAGGCTTTATATATCACCCTGGAGATAAGAGAGAAACTATAGGGGATGACTAGGAGGCTCCTGGTCTTGGGCATGACCTAAAACTGCACCCTGCTGGGAGTGGGTTGCTGGGAGTGGGTTGCCTGGTGGGGTGCTCAGTGGCATGGGAGCCCCTAGGAAATGCCAGGCCAGTGATCACCCTGGTGAAAGATGAGAAGGGGCACCTTAACCCTAGCTCTCATTTTTGGGTGGGTCTGGTAACTTTGGAGGTAGTGGGGGCCAGGCATGGCTGTGGCCACCTGAGTCCTGTGGGGTGTAAAACCCTGAGGAGGGAGAGTGGGGGGCCAGGCATGGGTGAGGCCACCTGAGCCCACCAGGGAGGGAAGCCCTTTGGCCCCAAATGAGGGGGCAGTGTGGAGCCCCAGTGAGGGGGAGGAGATGAGGAACCCCAGTGAAGGGGGCGGGGAAACCAGAGGGCTGAGAGCCTAATATGTCTATATAGAGAGAGCACAATGACATGCTGCTCCAGGGGGGGAGTGAGAATCCCTGTGAGACCCTGGAACATGAGTCATGGTGTCACCCCAGCTCCCACAACTGGGTGGGTCACCCACTAGTAGGGCCAGAAGGCAGACCCCAGGAATGAGTGGGGCTAGAGGCTCAGAGGCCTGATGTAGAATAGCCTTGACTAGTCAATGCTGGGGCCAGGACCAGAACAGTCAAAAGGGCCAGGGGCCTACCACGAGGAACGCCCAGAGCTGAGGGTCTGGGGATTCCGACTGGCCTTGGAGGCGAGGCCAGGGCCTACGTAGCCAAAGGTCACAGGCGGGATGATGCCCAAGAGGGGAAAGAGTTTCAGGGAGATACCCTGCCTTCATTTGGCCTATGTTACTAGAATGGAGGGATCTTAGAGGGGTCCGAACTGGAGGATTTTGGGGCCCAGCATGGGGCTAGTGAGATTAACAGCTAGATGCCATCTGTGAGGCATGGGCTGTGGTGTAGGGAAGGTATGAAGCAGCAGATAGCGCCCCCTCGCATCGAGGCACCAATGGGCAGCCTCCTGCCTTAATTAATATCTTAATTAAGAACACGGTGTGACAGGCCAGTCGGGTAGGTGGCATGCCCAAAGGCAAATGGAGAAACTAGCACTGTGGCTATTTGGGGAGTGCCACTTCGCAATTATTTAATATAAAATTATAAAATTACTAGTAATATTTCATTTTAATCATGGAAAAGCATGTTTTGGGTTATTTTTAAGCCAGAAATTGGGTTGGGTTTTTTTGTTGTTTTTTTTTTTAAATCAGAGAAAACCAGCATCCCTGGTTATAATTTTGGATTAATATTCTGTTTTTTACAAGTTATTTTATTGTAAGCTACCTTGAGCTTTTTTAAGGTTGGGTGGCATATAAAGCAAATCAATAAATAAGACTGCTGCATTTATTCTGTAATGAGGTAATCTCATCAGAAAACAGTTTTCCTCGTGGGTGTTGGAGAGCAATGCAACATGTATACAGAAGAAAACGTGCTTCAGTGTAATCTAACCTCTGCTTTTCCCCCCCAAAGGACCTCATTTTCCAATGCATATTTTACCTAATGCATTAGTCTTGGACATGTGAACATGTCTTGTTATGAGATCCTGCTACTTAATTCATAGCCATAAGAATTCTCCTTTAGCTCAAATGGTAAATATTTGTAGTTTGTGGATGATAATCCCTAGTTTGATCCCTGCTTACCACTTTTGCATCTCTGTCAACAACCAACTGTTCTTTAGTCTTAGAAAATGGTTCATTTCTTCTGGGTGAAGTAAACTGCCTTCAGACTAAGAAATGTGGCCATTATACTAAGACAAAGGCACCATGAATTTGTGATGCCTCCAACTGTAGGTTCTTGGTTTAAGACACACCCCAGGGGCCTGACTTTTTAAAAAAGTGCTAAGCACTTATAACATTTGCTAAAACATAAATTTTCTAATCATCCATACAGGGTCTCTGTTGGGGCTGCTAGCCCGTGGCCAGACACTAGAAGAATCTCAAC